GGCCGGCCGCCCCCTCCTCCTCGGGAGCCCCCCCGCCGGGCCCCAGCGCCCTCCCCGGCTGGCCCCGGTTCTGGGAGGGCCAAGATGTCCTGGCGCGCTGGACCGACGGCCTCCTCTACCTGGGCACCATCAAGAAGGTGGACCCCCTACGGCAGGTGTGCCTGGTGCAGTTCGAGGATGACTCCCAGTTCCTGGTCCTCTGGAAGGACATCAACCCAGCCGCCGTGCCCGGGGAGGAGCACACTTGCTGCGTCTGCCACCTGGAGGACCTGAGCCCCGAGGAGAACCGGCTGGTGAGGTGCGAGAAGTGCAGCCACGGTGAGTGCCACACTCCCCACGGCCACCCACCACCACCACCACCACCACCAGTGGCCAGCTCCAGGCGGGGAAACTCCTGGGGATTTTTTTTAGGGGGGCAGGGACCTCGGTGGGGGCCCAAGGGTGCTTCCAAAGCACCCATTTCTCCCCCAGGGAAACTGACCCCCTGCAATGCTCCCTCTAAGCTGTGCAGTCTTGTGAGCAAAAATCCTGCTTTGTGAGCTACTGCTGGCCTGAAAGTTGTCAGCTGTGAGCGATTTGGCTGCTGCTGCATCCGTTTGCTCTGGAGCCCCGTCCCTTCCGGAGCGGAGACAAAAAGGTGTGAGCCGGAGGCTAAAAAACGCCCCTGTGAGCTGGCTCACACTAGCTCAGCTGAGAGGGAACACTGACACACACACACCCCGTAAGCCTGGATCCCCAGGCCCCACCTGGAGGCTGGCACCCCTGCCTCCCACCTGTAGCTGGAGGTTCTTGATTCTCCTCTCCCCCCCCCCCCCCCCCCCCGCCCCCCACGCAAGCCTTCCCCCTTCCCAAGGTCCTCGGGGACGGCCCCTGGATGTGCAGGCAGTGTGTCTTCGCTGTGGCCACCAAGGTAGGCACCCCCTCCCCACCCGTTGGGGCCGGGCAAACATCTGGGCCTTGCCCCCGTGGCAGGGGGAACCGGTCTCCGGACACTAAGATCCACTGTCAACAGGATGGCTCGTAACACAGAGGGCTTTGGTGGGAGGGGTCTCCCAGAGGTCCGCAGATGTTGCCGTGGGAAGCGTGTGTGTATGTGGGTGCGCGCTCCGTTATTCTCCTCTGTTGCCCAGGCAAAGCCTGCTTAGCCAACCGGGCACTGAGTGGCAGCCAGGCCACCGGTGAGAGCCTGCGTTCATTTCTGGCATCCCACTGCTGAGCTGGCAGGATGCGGCAAGGACCCCTCCCGGTTCCCCCCCCCCGTGGAACCGCCTTCTCCCTCTGCAGCTGCCGGCCTGAGTCCGGTCTCTCTCTCTCTCTCCACAGAGGGGAGGCGCCCTCAAGAAGGGCCCCTACGCCAAAGCCATGCTGGGCATGAAGCTGGTGCTGCCCTACCAGCTCAGGGCCCTGGAGTGGGACGCCGAGCACCTCACCAACCGGCAGCAGTGCTACTGCTACTGCGGAGGCCCCGGCGAGTGAGTCGCGGGGGGGAGGAGGGTCACACATGGGCCGAACTCAGGCCCAGAGACAGCGCTGGCCCTTACGGCATCCCCGCTGCTGCTCAGGAGTCCTGCTGAGTTCGGTGCCTGGCATGCCCCCCACCCCATTGCAAGCAGGGGGCAAGGGTGGGGCACGCAAGTGCTGGGGGGGGCGGGGGGGAGAAGCCGAGCAAGGGTCCAGCCACCTCTCTTCCTCCCGGTGCCCAGGTGGAACCTGAAGATGTTGCAGTGCTGCCGGTGTGCCCAGTGGTTCCACGAAGCCTGCACCCAGTGTCTGAGCAAGCCCCTCCTCTATGGGGACAGGTGAGAGTCCGTGGGGCACCGCGGGGGGGGGGGGGACGG